ACTATATATATATATGCATAAATATTCCCAGCTAGCATTCCACTTTGATCTCCACTGCTGAGGGAAGCTTCCAACACCTTCATGAAGAACGACATGCTGATGTCGGGCACCGAACATCCGCTGGGAGGGTTCCTGGGAAGGTGGTCTACTCTACTCTAGGGTAAACTAGCATAGCTATGGGAAATCACCATGTTTAAACAATGTTTAATGGGTAAATCTTAGTAAATCAACTATTTCCATGGCCATGTTCAATAGCTTTTTGTATGTTTACCAGAGGGTATAAATCACCCATATACACCCATTTTCCATAGCTCATGACCAAAATCTCCATATCTTTGGGAAGCCAAGAGGTGGATTTACCCAAATTAATAGTGGTTTAAACACCAGAGATTTTTGCTTGGTTTTATTTAATAAAACCTATCCACAGGTTGTGCAAATGATGGTTTGTGGATCACATGCGTGTGGTAGTTTCCGCTCCATGGGGGGTCATAAACGCCATTGAATTGTTTCCCTGAAGCATGGTGTTTAAAAAGTCAACAGATTGCTGCTCTTCTAGGAGAAGTACTTCTACTTTCATGTGCTTAGCACTGATGGTGATTCACCTGCCATCAACACTCCCCAAGTCATCACCAGAGCAATCAATGGCAGCCAGGATTACCTGAAGGACTTGACCCTATGGGAGCACAGATGTTCGATTCTGTTTAGTCATAAGCATTTATTATTGAGTTACCCAAGTTTGACCTATACTCTCAATCTATCATATATTTACCAGTAGTACCGCACAAGGCGGTGGCGGAAGTTTCAAAAATAGGAAACCTATAGGAGAGGTTCGTTTTTGTGAATCAGGGATGGCAGAGCGAATCCACTGATGGACCGAAAGGTGCTTGAGGTCTCCTCTCTTTCGCTCTCTTTCTCTGACTATCTACCTACCTACCTATCTATCTTCTATGTATGTATGTATGTATGTATGTATCTATCTATCTATCTATCTATCGATCTATCGATCTATCGATCTTCGATCTATCGATCTATCGATCTATCGATCTATCGATTATCTATCTATCTATCGATCTATCGATCTATCGATCTATCTATCTATCTATCTCTCTCTCGCTTTCATTTGTCTATCTGTCTAGCTGTCTACCTGTCTATCTGTCTACCTGTCTATCTATCTATCTATCTGTCTATCTGTCTATCTGTCTATCTGTCTATCTGTCTATCTGTCTACCTGTCTGTCTGTGTGCAGTGTCATTCAGTGTAATGTAGCGTAGTGTAATGTAGTGTAGTGGAGTGTAGTGGAATGTAGTGTAGTGCAATGTAGTGTAGTGTAGTGTAATTTAGTGTAGTGGAGTGTAGTGGAAGGTAGTGTAGTGTGTAGTGGAGTGTAGTGGAGTGTAGTTGTGTAGTGTAGTGTAGTTGTAGTGTAGTGTGAGTGTAGTGTAGTGTAATGTAGTGTAAGTGTAGTGTGTAGTGTAGTGTAGTGGAGTGTAGTGGAGTGTAGTGGAGTGTAGTTGTGTAGTTGTAGTGTAGTGTAGTGTAGTGTAATGTAGTGAAGTGTAGTGTAGTGTAATGTAGTGTAGTGTGTAAGTGTTAGTGGAGTGTAGTGTAGTTGTAGTAAGTGTAGTGAAGCGACGAAGAAGGGACATCTGAACCTCCAAAAGTGGTCCGAGCATGGTGTGTTTTGTACATTTTGACTTCGAAATGTGCTTCGCGCCACAACGGCGTGCACTTTTTCGACATCTGAACCTCCAAAAGTGGTCCGAGCATGGTGTGTTTTGTACATTTTGACTTCAAATGTGCTTCGCGCCACAACGGCGTGCACTTTTTCGACATCTCAACTTCCAAAAGTGGTCCGAAGCTGGTGTGTTTTGTACATTTTGACTTGGAAATGTGCTTCGCGCCACAACGGCGTGCACTTTTTCGACATCTCAACTTCCAAAAGTGGTCCGAAGCTGGTGTTTTGTACATTTTGACTTGGAAATGTGCTTCGCGCCACAACGGCGTGCACTTTTTCGACATCTCAACTTCCAAAAGTGGTCCGAAGCTGGTGTGCTTTGTACATTTTGACTTGGAAATGTGCTTCGCGCCACAACGGCGTGCACTTTTTCATCTCTCATCTGGCCAGCTGGCTCCGCACCCGCCGCTTTAGCAAGCCTACTTTTCGACCCACCGGAGCCACAAATCATTGGAAAAACATAGTGTTTCGCGACTTTCAGTGTTTCACGACGTTCCTACCTTTTCGCGCGCCTGCATCTTCTTTCTTCTGATCTTGTCTCTTCTGACTCTTCTCACCTCTGGTTTTCAACTGTCCATATTGTCGGAAGTTTCACTTCTAAACTTCCTTCGATGATAGGAATTCTTAAATATCACAAATTGTATATATATATATATGTATATGCATATATATATATACACATACATACATTATATTAAATATACAGATGTATGATTCTATGAACGTCCGCCAGGGGAATCTTCGATACGCCCGATGGAAAGCCAGCGCATTGGGAATACGACACCTTCGGTGGCTGGCCCGCGTGCCCAGAGTCCATCGACGCTTCAGCGAAACGAAGAGTGGCATAGCGTCTGGTGATGTTTAAGGGTTTAGCGAACTGGACAATATGGTGACTTGGGGATCCCTCAGGTAAAAAAATAACAGATGTGTGTTCTCCTAAGCTATCCTAATAACTATCCCAGTTGTCATCCCAATAATTATCATCCTAACTATCATCCCAGTAGTTATATCATTCCTGTCAATGGCCATTTCAGGAACCTAAATTGGAGGTACCTACCATATATATATAAGGCCTATGTTTTAGGCCTATTTTTTAGGCCTATTTTTTAGGGAATATCCCAACAATTCATATGGCCAAAAATATGGTACTAACGTACCTCTATTTTAGGATCCTGAAATTTCCATTGATTTAATGGGATTTTATGGGATCTGCTGGAAAATCTCCATGTTCTTAGGAAAGTCATGAAGATTTTATCATCTATTTCTATGAGGCCATTTGCCATAGCTATGTTGAATAACCAGAGGGTATATGTTTTAATGTTTTGCGTATGTATAGGTATTCTATATCTGAGTATACTGTCAACCAACATCAACCAACTGAATCTGGCTGATTTTCGATCGAGATGCTGCTTTTGGCTGGGAATGCTACAACAATGGTGTGTTTTTCAATCAGCCAATTCTGTTATGAATTTGCACCATCCTCAAACAAATTGGGTATACCATCTAAATGACCATCATTTTTTTGGGTACCAGTTATCCAGTGTGAATCCATGCAAACTACACTTTTCCGTGTTTTAACCTGTATCACATTACTCCTCCATCTCTCAGGATGTGTATATAAATCATGTAGAGTGTAATATGTATATACATATATAAATACAGTTGGCGTGTTCCATCTAGAACGATAAATATAGATCTGTGTCTATGACTCAGTTGTTTCTTTTCCTCTCTCTCTCTTTCTCCACTTATGTGTATCTATGCCTAAACATATATATATATCACAACTCATGTATCTGATATCATTTTAGATAGAAACCACAGATGAACACAGATGCCACCTGTCGTTCGCCATGTCCCCACCGCCTTCCAGGGCTCCTTTTGCATCTGCTGAAAGTTTGGCCAGAGATGCTCGGGTTTGGGACCTGTGAAGACCGAACGAGTTGATGGCAACGAGTTCCTTCTAATTTTGGGTATATATATAATTAGTACTGGATAATCTGAGAATGGATGATTGGTATATAATTAGTTGATGGATAATGTAATGGATAATCTGATGATGTCATGGATATATACACTATTTGACATGGATCAATGATCTGTAATATATATATATATATTATTAGTGTATTATATAGAAAATCTTTGTTTACCAAATAATTTCACCGGTTGGTGGTTTGGAACATGAATTTTATTTTCCATGTATTGGGAATAATACTCCCAACTGACGAACTCATATTTTTCAGAGGGATTGAAACCACCAATCAGTATCAGATTATATAGGTAACGGTAAGGGTAATGGATCAACTTTCGATCATGAGTAATAGTAGTTACATTGGAAGGGATGAAACTAGAATGGATCAACTGTAGAAGACTGGATAGTAAGTGCAATGTATTAGAATAACGGATTAGAACAACGGATGAAGACTAATATGACTAATAGTCAGTGTAATGGATCGATATTAGACTGGATTAGAAGGGATTGTAATATTGGAACCAATATTAATAAGTATTAGCATTAGAAAGGCATTGATGGATCAATATAACTATTCTTGGGAAGTATCAGTACTATTAGTTATACTAGAAGGGATGAAATTAGAATGGATTCTATTCTAGGATTAGTTGACATAACTGATATAACCAAGGGTTAGGTTTATAACTACTAGTGATGTATATAAGTATTACGAAACATGTTTTGCTTGGTGATGTGATTTCGTTGGGGCACCACCTTGTACTACGACTTCTATATTCTATGGCTACGGATGGATCAAACCATCAGCGACTAGCCAATGGGTTTGTTTTGCTGCACGATTGGTACCAAAACTATGCTGAAGTGATTGTTCTGCTGTGTGTTGACCATGTTTTTTTTTGGGGTCATACTGCAGGGTGGCCATAAGGCATGGCTGCAATGTTGAAATCCCTTGAAAGATATGATTCTGTTGATATTTCCAGGCTTCCAACTGGCACCACTTTGCTCAATACCTTGTGATCAAGCTGTCCACATGGGAGTGTCCCAAAATAGTAGATTTACCTCCAATAAATTGTCATTTATATCATATCTATATAATTATACATATCTAATTATACATATATAATTATACAAATATAATTATACAAATATAATTATACAAATTTAATTATACATATATAATTTTACATATACATAGATGTAACGCACGTATATGTATATATATATATGCATATGTATATGTATTTTTTGCTGGTCAGATGATGAGTCGTCAGTGGATCCGGCCCCCTGTTTCCAGCCATGGACTCAGGCTCGACCGATAGATCCCAAAGAGAAGATGTACAAAGAGAGTTGGGCTCTCGGAGAGTTTTCGGTGGTCGATGGGTGACCAAGAATCCATAACAGGATCATCCATTCATAATGATATATTCCTAAGTATGGTTAGTGAGATATATATATATATTTACATATATCCCTATATGGTTACATATCACCATTTATAATATAACTACAGTTACATCTATATATAGTTACACATGTAATATTGATAAGCTCTTCCATTGAGAACATCCTGGAATACGGTCCGCATTCGCTCTAAGAAAGCGGACCTTTCACTCACCATCTCCAACGTTGTGTAGCGGTCAGCGGAAATTTTATGGCGATGATTCGATGATGACGATGCGGCTGAGATGCCAAGGATTGGAGCGGAAACTCAAGGAGGCAGGAAACCGAGCGACATGGCTACGAAATAGGATTTTTCAAACCAAGTGGATTAAGTGGATCGCAGAGTTTGGTCATTTTTCAAGAATTACAATCCTGTAAACCAAAATCTGGTTGGTGGTTTGGAACATTTTTTATTTTTCCATGTATTGGAATAATCATCCCAACTGACTAATATTTTTTCAGAGGGGTAGGTCAACCACCAACCAGAAATACTCTATCTGGAAAACCCACCATGTGTAGATTATTTGCCCTAGGGAAGCCACGAGGTTTCCACATCGAACTGTTAACGGTTGCCCGTTTGGCGATGTTTTGCTATTCAAACATGTGAGGGATACACAGTGTAGCTATGTACCAAAATTTCATAGAATTTCAGTAGATAGTTGCCAACCATGTTTCATGTGTTTCATGGTTCAATGTTTATGTTCTCGTTGCTACTCGTGTCGTCGTGGTTAATATGGGTTTGTCTGAAAATTGAAAACCCCCATTTTCAGACACAACCATTTTTTTAAATCCCATATAGCTGATTACTTACGTCCCAAACAAAGTCCCCATGGGTAGGCTTTATTCATTCCAATTCATTCTTCTATCCTGCTATCATGAATTACGAGTCCCCAAAGGGCACAAGATTTCAGCAATTCTTAGCTCGATGACTTCTTGTTCTGCCATGATTCAGCTTGGTAAATACGTTCTGGTATGTCTGGTGTGCTTTTTTTCAATGTGTCTGGTGTGATTTAATCATATTTAATCCTTCTCAAAATTTTCATCCCGCAGCTCAAAAAAAAATCCCCATGAATCCCCTCGGGCTGTTTTCAGTCGATGTCCCACCGGTCGGAACAGGCCAAGGAGCTGGAACGTCTTGATGCACTGAAGAAGTGGGGGAACCTGGGGGAACCTGGCGGCCTGGCGGGGAGCTTTGCGAATGCGCCAGCTGAAGGTTGGTTATGTTAGTTGCTTTATAAGTTATATCACTATAGGGTTTGGTGGATACATATGTATATATATAATATTATATATATACAATATTATATATACACACAATATTAAATATTAATATAAGTTAATATTATGTATTTAATTATATATATATATACATATGTATAGCTATATAGCGTACATAGTTCATGGGGGTTCTAACCGTGGCCAAGCTGTGCATCCGGGACCAGGACAGATGGAAGATACAAAAAGAAACACTTGGAGGCGCCTCGCATGGCTTGTCATGAAAACTCGGTGGGATTTTACATGGAAAATACATGGAATATATGGAAAATACATGGAAAATATATCTGGGTAAATTTCATCACGACCTCACTGTTCTCCCGAGCCCTGGAAATCATGGTTTATGTTAGGGGAATCATCCCCTTTTATGGCCGAACAATTCAGATTAGTGAATTATTATAATTTGGCCAGATATATGGAAAATACATGGAAAATATATGGAACATATATGGAACACATATCTGGTTGGTGGTGACTGGAGGCGCCGCTGGGCTTGTCAAGTCCTGCCCTTTCTCCCATTTCGACCCTAGAAAGAAAATCATGTCTGATACGTTCCACCAGTCTGAGTGGGTATGTATTAGTGGGAGGGTATTACAGTTGTTTTGATTTACCATGTTTTGCAGCAGTGGTTACATACCAATCCCTTCCCCAATATCAAAGAACCTCCTCTAAACCCTGGTTAAGTATGGTTCAGTATTGTATCTATTCATGTTTGATCCCAAACATGCTTGGTTTACATTCCCATTCTGTGGTGAATTCCCATTCACTTCTTACTTGTGCTTAGTAGGGAATGAGGAAATTATCCACAATAGCTATCAATAATAATCCCAGCAACCCCCATTCCCATCCATTCCCTACTAAGCACCAGTAAGACTTGCCATTCATTTGCCCCGTTCTTGCCAGCCCCATTGGTTGACCAGGAGCATGCCGATGAGTTCTCCTGTCTGAAGCGAGAAAAACCCGTGGGGCCCGCCCAGCCGCGTAGACGGCTGGGTCTATGGCTGGATTTCTATGGAAAATGACACCCAGTGAAATGTTTGTTGGTCATTTTCCATAGAAATATAGTTGGGTCATAGACTATATGTTAGTTATGTTTATAAGTTTGTGAACATAACCCCATCTAAATATAGTTATTTAAGCGTATCATACACCAACTTATTATGACATAGTTATTTGCACCAACTTAGCGTTCACGAACTGGGGCCCCATCCTGTATGGATGACATCCTTCAAATAATGTGCTTTGGATGTTCAAATATAGAAGTGTAGAACACTCACCTGGTATATTCCTATGTCTGGTAATTATTCCATATTAGTCCTATAGGATCCTATAGGTATATTCCTATGTTTGATAAGAAGAGCCTTAGGTTCTCTACCCTTTTGGCTGTCGCTTGTTTCTTCTCGGGATCCATATGTAACAGCTCCCTTTGAGCCTCTGGTCCCACCATGTACCACCTATCAGTTGACGGAAACAGCTGCAATGAGTCTTCAGAACGTCATTTGGCTGTGACATTCCATTGCAGTGGCTCGTTCTGGCGAGTTTGGCTACGAAAGGACCACGATTGTCCTCTCTTGTGATTGATAGAATGTACTCAACCCTTTTTAAGCTTCAATGTGTTCAATTGATCGTAGGCTCTTTTTTTCTGGTTGCTGACAAAAGCTGTTGGGTAACCAGTCTGCAACGGTTGTCCGATAGCATTGCACAACCAAGAAAATGGCAGATTCAGATACCGCAATTCCATCCAATTCCAAAGTAGTTTCGCAATTTTTCCATATCTGTCCCATTCTTCGCCATGTTAAATGAGTTTGAATGGGCATAAAATTGGAATTAAACAACACATAAAGTCCTGGTTGCTGGTTTGGAACATGTTTCATTTTTTCATATATTGGGAATGTCATCATCTCAACTGACTCATATTTTTCGGAGGGGTAGGTCAGCCGCCAACCAGATCTGTTGGTTAATCTATCAACCAATCTACCCTCTGGTAAACAGCCACATAACTATGGAAAGATCCACCATGTTCAATGGTCAGCCACCAACCAGTGATAGTAATTACAGTTTTTGGTATAATGATAGGTATAATGATAGTAATCTATCCAAAAACCATAATTATTGATAATTATGATAGGTATATATGATAGTAATCTATTAATATGATAGGAATTAACCAACCATATATATATATATATATATATACGTATAAACCATCATTAACCATATAATAACAATATAATAACCATCATCATTAACCATTATTAACAGTATATTAACCACATATTGAATCACATAAATAGTGAACAGTTCGCATGACCTGACGAGGCCTGGACAGAACAGAGAGTCTACACGCACGAATATTTCTCGCAGCCCAATGGCACGAAACCTGGGGACAGCTGGGCGTTTGTTCATTGTGGAAACGGGTTGGGTGAGAAGTAGTAGATAACGTTCAGTTGAGATAAGTGGCTGAATTCTATGGTTTATGGTAGATATAACTATACTTAATGAGGTTTACAAGCCAACTTATAACTGAGGGGCAATATTCTGTCGGTTTTGCGTGTTTTTTTTGGGGGTCCATTTTGGGTGTTCTCTTCAGATGTGATGGGACTGGAAAACTCGGCGAGGACATCTATTACGAGACTGGCATTGACAAACACATCACCCAGTCCGAACGAGCATTGAGGCCAGGACTGGAGTTGCCAATTGACGCAGCCCAGAAAAAACATGCCCAAATTCATCCAAATTCCGAAAACATGCCACTAGAGTTGCCTTTACTGCTGGATGTGGCTCCTTATGGGTTTGACTGTGGGGGTCGATGATCATTTTCCATTTTGTAATGGCCATACCCTCCAGTACATTAACATAGCTAAGGAAATCACCATGTCACCAGAGGGTAAATTAGAGGCCCATCCCAATTTTGAGACAAACCCATGTTCTTCTTTTCGGATGGTTTGCTACTTTCAAAGGGTTTGCAACTTTCTAGCTTTGGACAGACCCCCATGGATGATGTGGGTTGGAAGCCTGTAAGAGAAATCCAACAGACCCAAGAAAAATCCAACAGACCTAAGAAAAATCAGACCCACAAAGGATGCCTCCAGCCACTTGAAGACGGTGTATGAAAGGTTTCCGAAATTATCTGAGTTGGAATCGCTTGGGGTTGCCCCATTAGATCCAAGAAAATCTCCCCATTGTGATATTGTCATATCTAAATTGATGGTTAATCAACCACCAACATCCACTAAACCTACATGAAAAAATATATTGTATAGCGGAATATTAACCATCAATATGCGGGGATCATCATTGATGGCCTATATGAACATATATGAACCCTCACGGAAACATTAACCATTAACATCCACTAATCATATCTCCCAACAGATTCAAATCATCCAAAAAAACTGCTCCCCCGCCCAGTTTCAAGCGCGACGTCATTGTGGGAGATCCGGAACGGACCAGCTTTTGGAAGGAACCCCCCGGAGGCGGAGTGCTGAGATCCTGCCGAGATGAGTCAGATCCGATGATGATCATCATATGATCTACCCTCTGGTAATTTGTTACATAGCTATGGAAAATGGACCATAGAAATAGATGTTTTACCAGTTTTACCTATTAAAATGGTGATTTTCAATAGCTATGTTAGTTTACCAGGGGGTAGAAGCCGGATGCTCGTTTTGTGGGCCACCTGGAATGGGTGGATCAAATACTGCGAGCAAGCGATTACATGCGATTACTATTTAAAATTATCTTTCATCGGACGCAACTGCTGTTCGGACTAAAAACAACAGTTTGCTTGGTGTTCAGGCATAATTTGACCATGCTTGACCATTGCGCCTCAAAGTACCTATTGAAAATTGGTAGAATTTCTCAAGGCGCGTTGGTAAGGAACACCCAATTTTCGTGGCTTTGAGGCTGTGTGGAACACCATTCATCATTCATCCTGGCTACCCATGCTGTAAGGATCTCGCATGGCAGCCGCATCGGGAGGTACCTTGAAAGGAAAAGCTTCCAGAGCATTGCGAGCCAAGGCGAGACCGTAAAACTTAAGGGCGATGAAACCAGCGACGAGGATGTAATCTAAGGACTTGGGATTTATTTATATATAATATATACCAGTAGTACCCGCACGAGGCGGGGCGGAAGTTGCCTTAAAGATATATATAAGACCTTTCTCATCTATAGAACTTGCATGCGCCGTGCGCCAGCCAAGCCCGTGCGTGCGTGCACTCTGCGAAAGTGGTGTCCTGTTTCACATGTCACATGTGAAGCTCCACTTCGCCCTTCCCACTTCTCACTACAGTCTTCACACTCCACACTGCACACTTCACACTTCACACTCCACACTTCTCACTTCACACTGCACTCTTCCCAATCCACACTTCACACTTCACTGCACGCTTCCCACTGCACACTCCACACTTCACACTTCACACTCCACACTTCACACTTCACACTCCACACTTCACACTGCACTCTTCACGCCCCACACTTCACACTGCGCTCTTCACACTCCACACTTCATCTCATCTGAGCTCTTCTCACCTTATCCCAGCTCATCTCTTCTCACCTCATCTCTTCTCATATGTCATCTAAGCTTTCATGAATCACTTCCCAGTACTTCTACAAAGGAACTGGATCTCGACGCCAAAGCGACAAAAAGACGATTTTGAAGCACTTTTTAAACTGAATTTTAAAAGGAAAATCACTAGCGCCAAAATTGAGAAAATCTGCTGACAAATCACTTTCGCAGCCTTGATGCAGCCATTCCAATACGATTTACGATCTTCAGCTGCAAAAGACAATAATATTACGCATGCAGCCGCTGCACCAAGCAACCTTGACGCAGCCATTCCAATGCGATCTGCAGAGACTGAGTTGCAAAACACAATAGAACTACGTGCAATTGCGTCGGAAATTGCAGCTCCAAAACCGGATCTCGACGCCAAAGCGACAAAAAGACGATTTTGAAGCACTTTTTAAAAGAAATTTTAAAAGGAAAATTATTAGCGCCAAAATTGAGAAAATCTGCTGACAAATCACTTTCGCAGCCTTGATGCAGCCATTCCAATACGATTTACGATCTTCAGCTGCAAAAGACAATAGTATTACGCATGCAGCCGCTGCACCAAGCAACCTTGACGCAGCCACTACAATGCGATCTGCAGAGACGGAGTTGCCAAACACAATAGAACTACGTGCAATGGCGTCGGAAATTGCAGCTCCAAAACCGGATCTTGACGCCAAAGCGACAAAAAGACGATTTTGAAGCACTTTTTAAAAGGAATTTTAAAAGGAAAATTATTAGGCGCCAAAATTGAGAAAATCTGCTGACAAATCACTTTCGCAGCCTTGATGCAGCCATTCCAATACGATTTACGATCTTCAGCTGCAAAAGACAATAGTATTACGCATGCAGCCGCTGCACCAAGCAACCTTGACGCAGCCACTACAATGCGATCTGCAGAGACTGAGTTGCAAAGCACAATAGAACTACGTGCAATGGCATCCGAAATTGCAGCTCCAAAACCGAGATCTCGACGCCAAAGCGACAAAAAGACGATTTTGAAGCACTTTTTAAAAGGAATTTTTAAAGGAAAATTATTAGCGCCAAAATTGAGAAAATCTGCTGATACATCACTATCGCAGCCTGGATGCAGCCACTCCAATACGATTTACGATCTTCAGCTGCAAAAGACAATAGTATTACGCATGCAGGCGCGGCATCAAGCAACCTTGACGCAGCCATTCCAATGCGATCTGCAACCACGGCTTGAAGAAACGCATAGAACTACGCACACTGGAAGCACCATTGTTGCAAAACACATAGAAGGAACCAAACGACCGCAGCCGCAACCGCCGCACACACGAGGTACCTTTCATCGCCGGCTGCAGCCACTTTACACGGAAAAACACACGGTTTCGTGCTCCGGCTTCCTCCCCAAAACAAAGCCCATGCAACATTCATGCAGCCATTCCAATGCGATCTGCAACCACAACTTCAAGAAACGCATAGAACTACACACACAGGAAGCACCATTGTTGCAAAACACATAGAAGGAACCAAACGACCGCAGCCGCAACCGCCGCACACACGAGGTACCTTTCATCGCCGGCTGCAGCCACTTTACACGGAAAAACACAAGGTTTCGTGCTCCGGCTTCCTCCCCAAAACAAAGCCCATGCAACATTCATGCAGCCATTACAATGCGATCTGCAACCACAGCTTCAAGAAACGCATAGAACTACGCACACAGGAACAACCACTCGTTGCAAAACACATAGAAGGAACAATTCGCGACAGAAACGACCCCAGCCGCAACCGCCGCACAGACGAGGTACCTTTCATCGCCGGCTGCAGCCACTTTACACGGAAAAACACAAGGTTTCGTGCTCCGGCTTCCTCCCCAACTCACCACTTCCCTTCGTCACCACTTCCCTTATGTATTGTTATGCTACGTATTGTTCTGTGATCTACCACCCTTCATCAAGGTCAATTCCACCGCTTCTTATTCTTTTGTTATGTATTGTTATGCTATGTATTGTTCTGTGATCTACCACCCTTCATCAAGGTCAATTCCACCGCTTCTTATTCTTTTGTTATTATATTGTTATGCTATGTATTGTTCTGTGATCTACCACCCTTCATCAAAGTCAATTCCACCGCTTCTTATTCTTTTGTTATGTATTGTTATGCTATGTATTGTTAGATCACGTACCACCCTTCATCATAGTCAATTCCATCAAGTAAAAGTCATTCGTAACTCGGAAGTATTGCTTCCCAACTTCCTTTGATAATATATATATATATAATATTATATTTATATATTATGGTAGTGATATAATTGTAATATATGGTAATATGTGGTAATATATATGGTTATATATGGCAATATATATTGTAATATATGGTAATATATATTGTTGGTGATACATTTATATCACCAAAAATAAACCTATGATGGATGGATTTATATCCTGACTAACTATCCATAATCTTACCATTATATGCCCACTAAATTCGGGATATTGGAATTTTGCAACCAAATACCAATTTATATATATATATATACTGGTTGGTGGTTTGGAACATGAATTTTATTTTCCATAATATATGGGATAATCCTTCCCATTGACTTTCATATTTTTCAAGATGGTTAAAGCCACCAACCAGTAATTGATTGATGTTTAAGGCAAGCAAAACTGGGTTGACTGTTTGGTTTATGCAAGATATATCAATAGCATTGTATAGTTGGACGGGTGCTGTACATCAGAGCTGCAGGCGTCTTTTTCTCGCCGTATACAGACATGTCAAGATAGACAGCCCGAGCACGAAGAATCCATAAGAATCTATGTCTTGTCAGAATTTATAGAACATTAATTATTTAAATGTGTGTCAATTACCCTCTCGTAATTTGTCAGATATATAGCGATTAAAAATTGCCATAGAAATAGTTGATTTTCCCATTAAACATGGTGGATCTTTCCATAGTTATGTGGCTGTTTGCTAGAGGGTACCCATTTCAACCGTATTTCCACCGTATTTCAACCCTCCCCGGTGTTCTACCGACGCAGGCCATGCTTTGTCCTCGCGGATGTAGTGGCTTGAAGAAGGCGCTCAGTGGTGAAATGCGATCATGGGAGAATATATGCTGTTTCAAAACCATGATGATAACCACATGATGAACACTATGGTACCCTCTGGTAAATTAACATAGACCCTGAAAATAGCCTAGTTTTAATGGAAACTAATCTTCCAACCCCTATCTGCCAGGGTCTATGTCAATTTACCAGAGGGTAAATTTTATGATATCAAAATTTTATGCGATCATCACCATGATGAATAAACATTATCATGAAGAAAAAATGATAAACATGGTGTTTTACTCATCATGGTGTTTTCAAACACCGTATATTTATATTTATCATCATTCATTAAGGAAAACATGATAATAATAATAATAAGCATTGTGTTTTAATACTACTGATAAATATTAATAATCTGGTCATCATTTAAACCCATAATGGAACAGTGATCAGTGTCATTTTATGATCATATAACATCATATAACACAATTTCATGATTATGTGATTAATCCCATCATTGTCATTGTATTTTCATGGGAGTTGATGATGGGTTTTGATCGTCTGCCAATGTTAAGTAACAATAGGAACAAGACCTCCCATAAACGGGCCCTGAAAACAAATAGACCTATATAATACTATCCTATACGAAACCAAGGTTTTGTTTGGAGGTTATTTAAGATGGTGAGAAAGAAGTACCAAGGTTATATGGCAATATCAATGGGTTGAACCATTGAACCGGGTCATGTTATTGCCATCAAACATGTTCCATGGTTGGGTAAAATTACAAAAGTTACTGGATAAATCCATTTTCCTGGCTAATCCCATTACCTTTCAACAAATTAAGATAAATAAAATTATGTAAACCCTGAAAAAATCAACAAATCATGGCAGGGTCTTTGATAATTTGGGGATGGCAATTTTTCACCATACCATTGGTTTAATGTTAAGTTAGAACATGTTAGAACATGTTAGAACATACTACAATCTATGAGGAGATATGAGGGGCAAAAGGAGCAAACTATGGTGGTATGGTAGCCATGTTTACACATTTTTTAGCATATGTTGATTGAATTTAAGATATTTAAGACATGCCAATTAGTTTGAACAATGAGGCATGGTAATAAAATGTTTTTAAAAACGACTACCACCAAATGATTCATTGCTTCAGTAACAATGATATATTCCCATGATATTCAGATTATATTTCTATTATTATATTCGCATTGTATTCCTATTTATCCAGCTTGATGACTGATGTTCCCTTCAAAAACAAGGGTTTAATTTAATTCAAACGTGCCAATTACATAGTAAATGGTTATACGTATCACCATGTCGCGGTTTCCATATACATATACATATCTATATATATAAACATGCCAAATGCCAATCAACCTTTTTAGCATCATTAACCATCCCTATTATTTCCCCACCAAAAATACCAAATGGTTGGTAATCCCAAATATTCCCATCATGAATGGTAACATGAATGGGATATGAATGGGCTATAATCACTTTACTTCCCGTTTATAATCATATAGTGCCATTCATTCCCATTATCTAAAAAAACTCCCATGATCATTAATAATATTGTAACTTATATTCAGAAGATTCCATGATATCCCATTCATTACAATAGAACATTACAATATTATCAATGATCATGAGTGTATTTATCCCATTACAATCAATAAATCCCGGTTGGTGGTTTGGAACATTTTTTATTTTTCCATATATTGGGAAGAATATATAATCCCAACTGACGAACTCATATTTTTCAGAGGGGTAGGTCAACCACTAACCAGAATCCATGATATCCATGATATCCCAAAGGGTGGGGCCCTCCAGTTATAAGTTGGTTTATGACCCCATCTAAACATAGTTATTTTGCGTATCATACACCAACTTGTTATGAAATAGTGATAAACCCCTAGTTGGTTTATAACCCTCTTTAATATCATAGTTATCATACACTATTGTTATTATATACACTACTATAGCTATTTGCACCAACTTAGCGATTCCGAACCACCAAGTAGATGATATCCATGATATCTCAGTATGTATCCCATTCATCCCCGTGATCTCATCCCAAAGGAGCTGGCGCGGGAGACGACCCGCGAAGAGCTGCGCAGCGTCCGCAGCACCTTGGGCAAAATGGGGAGGTCACCGGAAAAAATTGCCAAATCGCACCGAAATACACTGGGAAAAGTGGCGATTTCTTCAGCAAGATGGGAAAGTATGGGAAGGTGAAAAGAACACGCAAGATTTCATGTGATTTCTTCATGATATTCATGAGAAATATGGAGTTGATGCAAAACTTGGACATGAGCGAACAAAATACGACTTCAGCAATGACAATTGAGATTGATCCAACAAAGATAGGTTCTGCTACCATTTTGCCATTTTGATGTGGATTTTACTACCCAAAAAAAAACTGGCATTCACCAACAACCACTGAAGGTGCTGGGGAAATGGAACCAAGAAAAACTGGTCCATGATTTCGAGGCAGCAATTCCACCTTCTTTGGTGCCTCTACAACTTCATGACTTCGCGAGAGTCTGTCATCATCAAATCCTATCACAATACCTTAGGTATTTATTAGGTCTCAGTTGGAACTTCGTGAAACGTGGAGTAGGACATGTTGGGACTGTGGCGGATGTTGGTGTAAAGCTGCGATTGCTGAGGCACTCCAAATCTACGCTCCATGAAATGATGCCATTAGCTAGCAATACCATGCCATAATTACCATGCTGATATTTTCATGTGTCCCCCATAGGAAATACTCTAACTCCATCATGGTTCATGAGACGGATACACAAAAAGATGACAGGTAACCCAGCCGACCCAGAATCCTCCTGGAAAATCGGAAAATCGGAAAATCATGTAGAGTTCTGGGTAAATCTGGGTTTGATAGGTTAATGGGTTTGGAAAAACATGAAGGATTTTGATGGAGAAATAGACTAACCAGCCCAACTTCCATACTCCATACGCCCATTACCTCAGATTCGCCATGTCGTTTCATGGATGTCCCAAATTCATACTGGTTCATGAAACAAACAATCATAACACCCCCAATATTGACTGAAATATCCCATTATTTTTGGGGTATACCCCACTAATTTTCCATATGTATTGATGCTTGTCCCATTAAATCCACCATGTATTGATAGTTGAATCAAGCATTTCTCACCTGCGTGGTTAGAAATCCATGGTCAAGCCATGGAAAAATCTTGCCATGGCCAAATGGCCACTTGGCACGTTGCGCGGAAAAGTCCGGAGGTTCCTGCAACCAGTATTGGCTTGGAATCAACCAGCAAGCCTAAGTGGAGATAGATTTGGATGGATTTGGATATGAAGGAATTTTAGATGATATGAAAGGATATGAATGTAGTACATGCAAGAAGTATTATGAATAATGAGATGTGAATGGATTGAAAGATGTTGACAGATTGTTTGCAGCATTCAGGGCAGTGCTAATTTACTGCTAGATTTGCTGGTGCCAATGCACTCCACGCAATACAACGTACCGTGCTTTGGCTGGGAACACATCAGGTTTCATGAATCAGAAAGGGTCCACATCTTTCAGATGTCAACTCACCACACAGATGCCTTTCCAGGAAAAAAACTTTGGTTGTTTGGAAGCTGCATCTTCAAGGTATGGATGACTTTGTGAAGAATCACCAAACTCTCAATACCTCTCAATCAATTTTCACATGGCTGGCCTTCCATTGGCAGAAAAGAACCGCACCGCGTCACCGCGCTGAGACGCGCGGATTTGTCAAGCAGCATGGACGTGGAGACAGCGGAAACTCCAAAGCCTCCAACCAACGAGCCGGACACCCAGGAACAACGATGTTAATGGTATACCATATATATATATATACATTTGGATACATTTGGAATCATTTGGACTGGGATAGAAGTATAGGGTGAATTATGAAATCTTATTTTACTTTCTAGTAGGATCAAAGGGATCAAATGGGACATGTGATTTTCATATGTTCATTGTGCTTTTTGTATATTAAGATATGTTAAGGTGATGTTTATGGTATATCATTGGCTATTTTTCTGGCTTCGTTGAAGGTGGTTTCACTTTCCGAAATGGGAATACGCACCCCAGTTGGCAAGTGGCTTGTTATCTAGGCATAGATCAAGGAACATATATATATATATATACATAAATATATGTTCATACATACATAATATAATATATATATATATATATATATGTATAAATGGAGTATCGTATACGCCGAGTCTGCTCCATCCTGTCCAGGTCGCCGGGTATGGAGCTGGATGAGTATCTTCAAGACACTTCGCGCCGCCCTGGCTTTGATTAGACCTGTGACTCCGACCGTGTGAATGGTGGAATATAGGGTGTCCACTCTAATGGTGGAATATACCCTCTGGTAAACTAACATAGCTATTGAAAATGACCATTTATAGTGGATTTACCCATTGAAAATTGTGATTTTCCATAGTTATGTTAGTTTACCAGAGGGTATGTGAATGATTAATACTATCATAATGGAATTCCTCTCATACCATGATCAGTACGAATATTTAATATCATCATAATTAATGTAAATTCCATTAGATGATGATGAATTACTATCATAACTTAACTCTTAAATTATCATGATTTACAGTGTGATTATTATGAATAGAATTAGTACTATATTACTATTGTCATCATTATCATTATGATGATGATGATGATTATGATGATGGATGTGAGTAATTATTCCAGATTATATCTGGATACGCATGACCAATTTTATGTATATCCGCATTGTTTTGGGTAAGCCAATCCACCCTGCCCCGCTGAGCTGCGTTGAGGTTGGAAGACCTTTGATGACGTCGAAGATGAGGCCTGCATCGGTCTGGAGGTTTTCATTCCACGGGTCAAATATCCAGTGCTGTATTTGGGGGGTGCAGTTCCCACTTAGTAAATGGGTCAAAAAAAACATGTGTGTATAATATATATATATAATATATATATATATATACATACATATACATATATATATATATGGAAAACCTATATATATATATGGAAAACATATATATATATATATATATACATGCAATATCTCACTTATCTACATGGGATGAAATATGGGTTATATATGGATTATAGACCACTTGGAGGTGCAGTTCCCCCAAATAAGTGGCTTATATAACCGTAGTTTTATCTACAACCGGCATGGTCTGGTCATGAGCCCCGGGAATGCTTCACTTCAAGAGACAAGAGAATGCAGGACTCAGCCAATTGTTTGGAGTTGGCAGTTGGGGAAGAAAAGAAACAATAGCATCCAATAGCCCCCGCTTAGATCCACTTAGTCTCGACTGAATCACTGTTTGGTGGTGTCCATGTTATTAACCATATATACTATGAACCATGTGGTATATATATATAATGTTATTAACCATATATACTGATACTATTTTCACCATCATGCTGAGTCTACCATTGTTTTGGGTCGTTTTCTTGTTCCACTGGGCGCCACGTTAGCCACGTTCCACGCTCTGCTGAGCCAGGTCCACTACTTGCGACACCGAGGCGATGTGCTGGTATGGAGTCCCAGGACGGTTTACATCTGTTTCTTTGGGAATCCTATGGAATATTTGGAACCATATGAACCGTATGGTAGATATATATATATATGAACCAAAATATTAACAACATTATATATATATACATTACATACATATATATATATACATATATATATATATATACATATATATATACATATATATATACATGTATATATATACTCCAACTTGCAGATGATCAATTCTAAGTACTTGGTAGTCCAACTAACACCGCCCAGGCGCGGGGCTTGAAGGCCTCGCGAGAGGAGCTTGCACAGCTCCATGAAGCCGGACATCGGCTGTTACTTGGCACCACCGGATGGGGCGAAAGTCATTGGGCCCATTGGGCCTTGAAGAAATGGACAGATTGTTTATCTGCAAGAAGAAAAACCTGGATTTGAACCAGTTATATCAGTTATTGTATAACTATATTCTGGTTGGTGGTTTGGAACATGTTTCTTTTTCTTTCGATTTAGTTGGGAATGTCATCATCCCAACTGACGAACTCCATCATTTTTCAGAGGGATAGGTACACCACCAACCAGCTATTGATATGTGACTTGTGTAATTTATGGCCATGAAACGAGGATTTTAACTGTAGCCAAGAGATACGCTGAATATAAATCATCTATAATGACGGCAAAGGATCCCATAAACATATAATATAATTTATAATATAACATAATATAATATAATATAATACAATACAATATAATATATATATATATTATAATATGTGTATATAATTGTATTTGTTTATTAGTATTTATGCCAAGTACCAAGAATAGTACACCCCCAAAGAGATGGATGATGCACTCCTGTCAAGGGCCGAAGTCAAATGGTTGTGGTGGTTGTAAAAACTAGCTTCTGGTTTGCAAACTGGAGAATTGCAACTGTCTATTTAGTCTATAGGTAAATCATCATTGTTACACCTGGTAAACTAACATAACTATGGAAAATCACCATTTTTTAGTGGGTAAATCAACGAACTAAATAGCCCACTTTCCGCTGTGTTAAATCACCAGAGGTTTTTTGTGTTACCCTCTGGTTATGACTAACATAGCCATGGAAAATGGCCCATTTATAGATGAATTTACCATTAACACCTCCATTTATAAGGGATTTTCCATGGCTATGTTAGTCATAACCAGATGGTACTTACTCGTTGTTGGTTATCCCATTGCATTGATCAAAATGCTTTTTTGGTTTTCACATCTCCATGAGGGGTAAATCATTGTTGGTTATCCCATGAAAATCCATTAAATCATGGGACTATTCCCATAGGTAAATCATCATATTTAATCATATTTACTGGGACATCCCATGATTAGAAAACATCCCATATTTAATATCTCATCAATCATCAATAGGATATGATTAAATATGATTAAATATCCTATTGATGAGATGTCCCAGTAATTTCTATCAATATTCCCATGGAATATCCCATCACCATTCCATTCATATCTCGTAGTTATCCCATGAAATACCGCTATCAGCATGAAAAAAAAACAGGGGATCAGCACATCACTCGATTCGACCGAGGCAACAGGCGTATGAGGAGCTGCACCGTCAGTATCGTGAGGCGTTTCTTGAGAGGATCATGATGATATAGGGGTTTCATAAAAGGTACACCAATGGTTTGCTGGAAAATCCTACTAAAATGGATGATCATAAATCTTGGTAAGTTTCATCACGACCTCACTACGACCGAGCCCTGGAATCATGGTTAGTAAGGGAAATCATCCCCAAATAGCCTTATTTATCTTATTTCAGGTGGGTGAATTATTGTAATTTACCCAGATAAAAGGAGGTACCCCAATAGCTGGATGGTTTATTTGGTGGAAAATCCTACTAAAATGGATGATGTGGGGGTACCCCTATTTTAGGAAACCTCCATACCGGCCTCATTATGATGCGTATGGCTGGTCTATAGTTAACCATATCATATGGAAAGTTAACCCCATCATCAATATGACAATGGCACAATCAACAGAGCAATTTAGATGGATTCAATGGATATTCAAGTTGATCGATTGCAATGGGGTGCTCCGTAGTTCTGTTGGTTGGTTTATGTCACCCCATCCAACTATACTCATGATCACCATGGTGCCTAGTTAGATCAATAAGAACCTCAAGAAAACGTGGATTCAATGGATCAATGGATCAATTAGATGGATACTAACTGCGGACATGATCAATTTGATCGACCATCTTGCAAACATCATCAATTTGATCAATTGGCTGGATTCAATCGATAAAGTACTGTACCCCAACTTGGCTACTGGCTTGCAGTTCCCAACCTGGGTACGAGGTAATAATTCTGCCCAAATTTAGGGTTCCAATTTTGTATGCCATCATTTCATACTGTCATTTCTAGCTGTACTCTAGATAATGGCTGCTTACTACTGATATTCATCTGGCTTATGTATACTCAATTATAGTGACATACACCTATAAACATGCATTATTTAATATACATATGTATTTGTTTTTACTATTTACATGTACACACATATACATTTACATTTATATTATATAAGTATATGAAATTAGATGAACAGGGATGGAATTCAGATTCCTTGATGTCTTGACTCTGTAGGTGGCAGCTGATGCAGTCACGAAGCCCAGATTTTCCCAACCGGACTAGGCTTCGTGGAAAATTGAGAAAATTACTAGGAATTTTCATGTGATTTTTTGGGTAGTTTATAGGGAATTTATTGGAGTTTGGATTTTATAGAATATAATGAGATTTTATGGTGATTCTTGTGGGATTTCATGGGTTTTTATAGGGATGTTATAGGAGTTTTATGTGGATTTTACGGTGACTTTAGAGGGATTTTATAGGGAATTATAGGGGGAGTGATTTCATGGTATTTTATCGGGATTGTATAGGGATTTAATGGGATTTTTTATCGTATAACATGGTGATTTACCCTACAAAATTGAGATATTAACCATACAATGGGATAACAACAAATCAAAGTGGGGAATATGTCAGGTAATCTAAGTTGGCAACGGAAAATCCACCATTCATAAATGATTGGTCCATTAAAACCTCCATTTTGGGATTTCCCAGCCCGTTTGTATACCAGCAGGATGACATGAAACCCATAAATTTGGACATTGACCTATCAAACAATTGGGGTCAACTAAGAAACAAAAAGGTTTTATCGCCCAGTTTACGGGGAAATGGGAATTTCCACTCAATGGACTACAAGCTGCTTGGATTTAAACCTTATAACCCGATTTGTTTCTGGTTGGACATTGAAGTTTCATTGGATTTTGCTCTGCTAGCTCCGGGCTTGATGATTTTCCCATCAAACCTCCAGTTGTAGATGGGAAACCACCATAGTTTTCCCGATGGATTTTCCCATGAGCCATGAATTTCCGTGCCCAGGGCTTTCCCAGTTTTTCCCATCTGAGGCATCCAAAAGAGGATCAACCGCCGGACCGGTTGATGTGGCTTATGGAGGTTTCCTAAAATGGGACTAACCCAATAGCTGCATGGTTTATCATGGAAAATCCTATTAAAATGGATGATTTTGGGGTACCCCCATTTTAGGAAACTTCTCCAATACCTATATGCCTACATCTAAATCTACTACTATCCAGATCCTCCACTAAGTGGCTTAGCAATTAGCTACACCCGTCATCGTCAATGAAGTGTGCACGATGCACCCAGGTCTATTGGCAATCCCTGGCAGAAGGATCACGCGCGCCTGTGAGAGCCTCGTGGCAACTGGAGATACTAATGATCCGACCGATCCAAAACGTTGGGTATTTACCAAGTCTGAACTGTTTAAGAATATGGTTTTGATTGAAAAAAAGGGTAGCTGTTTCAAGAATCCATTGATACTGTAACTTATCATAACTTATCATTCTCCCTCTTGAAATTGTAGTTTGGGAATTTGGGTGGTATCCCCTTATTCTCAGACAACTCCATATGGTGACAGCAATAATAATATTAATAAAAATGATAATGAAACTAAAGTAGAACATCTAAGAACAATGAGCATAATTAAACAAGTGGGCAGTTTTTAGTAGAAACCCCATTGCAAAAAGTGGATCCTTCTTCACCTACCAGGACCCACTCCGACCCAGTAGTATCTGAGCAGCTTTCAAAAGAAAACAATTGGTTGATTAGTTCGAGGGTTGATTGATACCCTTTAATAACAGCATAGCAATATGGTTTTGTCTGAAAATTATGGGAAAAAACCTTCCATTCACTGGTCAATCATGGTCAATCATCATTTTCCCCACTCAAACAACCGTGTTTGGAGGTAAATCCACCATTTTCAGACACATATATGCCATATGCCAACTATATCCCATTATATCATATCACATTATTAATGTATGACATATATCCCAATTATACTATATATATAGTTGACACATCGCCAGTATATCTTATCCCCACTATTTGTATCCATATCATATCCCAAAAGATTTCATGAGATATCATAGCCTCATCTAATCAACATCATCATGGAATATCACGGGAGACATATACCTATACCATATGCCAATATATGCCAATAATCCGTATATGAATCAATGGCCATGACTCAGGAACCGATTGATTGGAGGTACCTACCATATATAAGGCCTATTTTTTAGGCCTATTTTTAGGGGATATCCCCACAATTCATTTGGCCTTATATGGTACAGTACCTCCAATTTAGTATCCTGAAATTCCCATTGAATGAATGAGATATCATATTTGGCAAATATTGGCATATGGATATGTAAATATATGGATGATATTGGAAATATGTCACCCATACAAATATCATCCATATCATGTTTCATCATTAATGTAATGATATAGTATGATATACCATATGCCAATAATCATCAAAAATCCATATGGTATATTGGATATTGGAGATAATCCATATGAAAATTCATATGGGAAATCCATCTATGCCAATAATCCCAGATATCATATATGTTTCTTCCTTTGAAATATCTTCCCCATTGAAATATCCCCCAAAAAAACGCATGGGTGAGGCCGAGTCGCCAGCAATGCCCAAGCCCCATGGAGCTTGGTCTCCGGAACCCACACCACATCTAGAGGTGCAGATTGCTGGGAAAAATGGGGCATTTCAGCTGGATTTCACCATGAAACATGGAAGTTTTAGCAAAGATTGGACATGAACCATTGATCAATGGATTGGTTTAAGGGAAAATCTACAGGACACCATAGATTTTCCCACTAAATATGGGGTTTTCCTGTAAATTTTCCCTTAAACCAATCCATTGAATTGAGAATTGAGATTGTTTTGGGTCAACAAATGGTTTCGAGCAGGAATTTCAAGTAACGGCGTTGAATAACAAAAATGGTGAACTTGGGGGTCGATGGTGGCCGAAAACCATCGAGCCAATCGAGTCCGATGGGTGCTGAAACATCACTTTTTTGGTGATTAAAGAAAGGTTACCCTCTGGTAAATTAACAGTTTGCTATTGAACATGGCCATTTATAGTGGATTTACCCATTGAAAATAGTGATTTTCCATAGTTTTGTTAGTTTACCAGAGGGTACCCATTGGTAAATTAACATAGACCCTGAAAATAGCCCATGTCTAGTGGAAACTAAGCTTCCAACCTCCGCCTTTGATAATGAAACCAACAAATAGTAGTGATGATGATGCTTAACCATTGTTTAATCACCCAAAAAAGAAACAAAATGCCCTAAAAGATACCCATTCTGTAAGCAAGAATTGATGATGCCCTCCTGTAATTTTTCACATGGCTAGCTAGGATTTTTGTTGTAGGATATTTATAGGAATATCTATGGGGAAATTTACTGAAAACACCCCAGTTCTTGACGAATACCATGTACCATGTGGTATTGAAACCTGGCAATGGGAAATCCCCCATAAAAATAGAGATTCTTTGATGGGAAAATTATCAATAAATGGGATTTATTTATTTGTTCATTGCCATGATTGATTACCGGAGGGTAAACCCCTAAAAAAAAACGTTAAGTTCGCAGAAGAAATATGTGAAACCGTTTAGTTCAGCAATACTTTTATTTTATATCTATCTAACTATCTATCTATCTATCTATCTATCTATCCATCTATCTATCTATCCATTTATCTATCTATCTGTCTATCTAATCTAATCTATTCTATCCTATCCTATCCTATCCTATCCTATTCTATATATCTATCTATCTATCCATCTATCTAATCTAATCTAATCTAATCTAATCTAATCTAATCTAGTCTAATCTAATCTAATCTTATCTATCTACCTATCTATCTATTCTATTTCTATACATATATATATATAATATGTATATAAATACAATGTCCATTTCTCTATAATATATATATACACATATAATATGCATATATGTATGTTCATATCTTCATCAGCGCTTGTTTTTCTCCCTGTTCTCTTGCCTATATACCGATACATCCCCACATGTATCCATTAGACAGCAATCATCACCATTTCCCCTATTAAAATCTCCGTTCACAAAAGCCTAAGCCATATTGTTGATGATATATCTCCTGGTTGGTGGTTTGGAACATTTTTTTTCCATATATTGGGAATAATCATCCCAACTGACTTTCATATTTTTCAGAGGGGTTGAAACCACCAACCAGTCTCATATATAATCTAGCCATCTAGCCACTCTCTGAAGTATCTCCAAATTTCTTGCTTGATATCCTCATCAACCCAAAAAAAATCTCATCTTCTATCTCAACCAACCAAATATAGGGGATTTAGCTATTTTTTGGGGCATTCAAGCACCAAAGATATGGGGATGTAGTTGATTATAGTTGATAATTGGTTGGTGGTTTGGAACATGAATTTAATGACTTTCCATTCAGTTGGGAATGTCATCATCCCAACTGACGAAGTCATATTTTTCAGAGGGGTAGGTCAACCACCAACCAGATCTGTTGGTTAACCTCTCAACCAATCTACCCTCTGGTAAACAGCCACATAACTATGGAAAATCACCATTTTCTAGCCGGGTAAATCCACTATATTTAAATGGTCATGTTCAAGTTCGCTTAGTTTACCAGAGGGTATAATCATCATAAACCCATGATAAATGATATAAATGGAGGTTTTATTGGGAAAATCCACTATTTCTATGGCCATGTTCATTACCAAAACCTATACTATTCTATGGTTTCCTATGGTTTTCCTATGGTTTTCCTATGGTTTTCCTATGGATCCCATGGTGATTTTCCATAGTTATGTGGTATCTCATCTTCTCCGCATCCCCTTTATGATTCCCAGGTGGCAAGCCCCAGTGATGCACGTGAAGCCTTACGCCGCGCTGCCGTGGAAGCGGCCAAGGACGCATCCCCCCAATTTATGGTTAAGGATGACTAATACTGATTAGACTAACCTTGATATAGATAATTATAGATATGATAACTTGATATAACTTATAAGCTTAACCATTACTTAATTAAAAAAAACTACCCAACTAGTACAGTATGCTTCGGAAACAATTAAGAATGGTTAAGGATTGTTAATGGTCTAATCCCAGAATCCATCACAGCCAATATGGAAAAACACCCCCATCGCCTATGGTCCCAAAAAGCTGTAAATCCCTACTAAACCATGGTTGAAATGGGGGGTGTTCAATTTGTTAGGCGGATGCGAAAAAATCTGTTGAAACATTGATATGACAATGATATGGGTAATCAGGGAACCATTGCAATTATAGTTGGATATTTTTCGCCATACCAAAATATATGTCAGCCATCAAAAGCAGGTATTTATACTTAAAGGTATAGAACAGAAATTAAGGCCCAGCCCAAGGAGCCATAGATTTTGATAGATTATGTTTTAGATTAGCATGTCTGAAATATCTACTGCAGGGGACGCAACATTTTGAACCACATTTAGAGCCATCAAACAATGCAGGTGAACTGGTTAAGTGGATGAATTTGCTGAAATGATTCCACAGAAGTAACTTGCGATGACCAAACACGGGGGGAATCACCAGAGATGTCCCCCGAAAAAAGCCTTCGTCATGAGCAAACACGGCAACGGCAACTTTCCCTTGCGCTGGAAAGTTGGAGATTACCGTCATGACAACATCATTTTTGTATACCCTCTGGTAAACAGCCACATAATGAACTGGAAAGATCCACCATTTTCTAGCTGGGTAAATCCACGAACTAAATCACCATTTTCAATAGCTACGTTAAATTACCAGAGGGTACATGATCTACTCGGAAGATAGGCGTTTTTTCCTGTTGATCTTCGGGTCTTTTTGGAATTTTGCTTCACCACCAGAGAAAGCATCGCCACCGGTGCAGGTGCTTCAGCAGAAGCAGGGGAAGACAGCGGAGGCGAGGGTTCAAGGAACTGAGGAAGATCAAATGCCCTGATACTGCTTGGTAAACTACCCTCTGGTAAACTAACATAGCTATTGAAAATGGTCCATTTATAGTTGATTTACCCATTAAAAATGATGATTTTCCATACGTAGTTATGTTAGTTTACCAGAGGGTAACATAGCTAATGGACCATTTTGCATTTTTTAAATGGTAAATCATCGAAATAAATAGTGATTTTCTATGGCTATGTTAGTTTACTGGAGGGTAAGACCCATTAAAAACGTAGATAAATCATCGAATGAAATGGGCCTGGAAGCTCCATAGCTACGGGGTAACTCCCCAAAAAAGTGGACGTCAGAATTGAACAGATCAGAACAGTGACATATCGGATTCCAAAAGTGAAAGATGCTTTGGCAAGGGCCGCATAAATTTTGACAAAGCAGGGGGTGTGCATGACTTGGAATGATCAACAATGGAATTTTCAGGATCTTAAATTGGAGGTACTGTACCATATTTTTGACGTTGTTTGGTCATATTTTGTGGGGAGATTCCCTTACATAGCCCTAAAAAAATAGGCCTCCAGTCAATCGGTTCCTGAGTCATGGCCATTTGGTCCATAGTTATGAAAAAAGGGCCACCCAAATGGCCATCCAAGCTATCTCTGGTGGCCATGTAGCCTGCTGTGATCAGCAGGCTGTCCATATTTTTCAGAAGGTGAGTGCCGGAATTTCCCATTTTAGTGATATCCTGGCAGCGGAACAGAAAAACCATTTCCAGAATCTAGGTGTTTTCCTACTCAATATGCTATATCAATATACTATATCAGTATACTATATCAGTATCATCCAAGTATTTCGCAGAGGGTTTGTGGAATTTGAATTCCACAATGAATTGCACTTTGGTAAAATTGGACGGTGGCGATATATCGATTTTTTTCGTGGATTCACGGTGGCATCATGGGTGATAGCTATCGGTAAATCACAGAAAGTCTTGGGATCGCCCTTCGGCCCAGGGCAAAGAGAATGTGGCCACTTATCTCAGTCCAAGCAAGACCAAAGGCCACCACTGGAGGGCGGGGAAAACTGCAGATTCCCCTGGCTGTAATATCATTAACATAGCTACTTTTTGTGGGGCCCACAGTTAGAAATTGGGTATAGTTGGGTTATAACCACCATGAATACCACAGTTATAAATATGGCTATGGATCAATACCTATACATACCATTTTTAGGGGGATGAACATCCATTTACCAGCTATTTTGGGGTTCACTAGGTACCAGGGTTTTGACCCATAGCCATATCATAAACTATACTTGGAGTCATAAACCAGCTTTGCTATCTAGGGGGGCCCACTGACCCACATTGCTATGGAAAATCACAAGGTTCAATATGTAAATAATCTAGAAATGGGCCATCACCATCGCAAACTGTTAGTTGCCAGAGGGTAACTTGATAGGACCCAAAGATGCAAACTGCCTAGATCCACCACAAATCCGTCCGTTAAATCTTGTTTTTTGTGCCAACATACCTAGTATAAACATATATAATATTATAAGCCAATCAACAATTATATGCATATTATTAGTATGGAAGTAAAAACCAACATACCAATTGAAGTATAAACATGTTTATATGCTATGTTTCTTGGTTGACTTCCCATTCGTCATCTTTTCCCGGCCCAGGCCGCGATGTGGATGCCAGGACTGCGGATGAGGAGGTTTTTTTTTGATACCTTTAAACGTTAAAGGAACTCGCAAAAAGGATACTACTGTTTAATTTAAAGGCGATATGACTGGTTGTATCTTGTATATCCTACAGTTATATCAGTTTTGATATTACCAGTCATACCCACGTGTTAGAGTGTTTCCAGGATGTTACCCTCTGGTAAACTAACATAACTATGTAAAATCACAATTTTCAATGGGAAAATCCACTATAAATGGTCATGTTCAATAGCTATGTTAAATTACCAGAGGGTATTGAGTCACTTGATTCACTTCAAGTTTCCAGGTTTCTCACGTTTCGATGTTTTTTGGGGGTTACTATAATATGTTACCACGCTCAAGTTAGTTAAGCCACTAAAATGCCATTGTTCATGCCGTTGTTGATCGGGTATTTATAAGGAGCTATTATACTACCTGCTTTTTGGTTATTCATATTTGGGAAACCTATCAATCAACCGGGGTAATGAGATGGGATATGGGATGATATGGGTAATTATTCTTAATGGCTCACTTGAAATTCATGCTATTGTTGGATTCCATCTTGACTTTCAGACGGGCGACCCTCCTCCAAAAAATCCAATACAACGCACAGACGAAATACCGAGTGGTTTATGGCCCTGCGCAGTGGGCTCTCCCCAAGTTTGGGAAGATTCACAGAACAAATTGAACAAACACAGAACAAACACCGAACAAAAGCTTACTGGTGCTAAACGTAGGGTTGCTGGATGGGTTGCTGGGGTTGCTGGGATGATGAAATTACTAGTGATGACTGGGATCATTCCCGAAAATTCCCTGCTAAGCTTCCAATCCCCCAAAAAAAGGACACCGAATCGACGAACCTGTGCCTCAGCTGTCACAGAAACCTTTGGGGGTTCTGAAAACCATGGGTAATCATGATAAATAGATGGTGATGGTGGTTAATTTCATGGTTTGTGTGATGATAAATGTTGTTTTTTTAAATGTTCAAAACGCCTGATTTTTCTGATTGTTTTCTGAAATTTCAGTCCATCGTTCGCGGGCCTTCCAATGACTTCTGGATACTTCTGGGACATTGGAATAGTTCCCAACTTCAAGGTGGATCAGATGATCAGATTGGATGGAGAATATTCAGCAGCCTAGTAGTAGCCTTAGTAGCCGTGAACAGAAGTCTGCAAACTGGACTGACCCTGATTTTTGGATGCCATTGTCTGAAGTCGTTGATGTACCTAAGATGAGGTCCGTAATCAAGTGACCTGCAAATTCAAGCCCACATGCCTGTTTTGAATCAGTATCACCATTGTATCCTCTTTATATCCATCATGTCATCAGTACAATATACCCATTAGATACCCATCATACTAGAAATTGGGGATTGTGGTATTCCATGAAATCCCCATTATATAATATTATATATACGTATATATATATATATGTATGTATCCCCATATTGTTGGTGATACATCTATATCACCAAAAAAAACTATGATGGATGGATTTATATCCTGATTAACTATCCATAATCTTACCATTATACGCCCATGAAATTCGGGATATTGGAATATTACAACTAAATACCAATATATATATATATATATACAGGTTGGTGGTTTCAAACATTTTTTATTTTCCATAATATATGGGATAATCCTTCCCATTGACTTTCATATTTTTCAAGATGGTTAAAACCACCAACCAGTATATATATATATACATCATTCTGGCCTGTTTATACACCTATTGTATACATATAATCGATATGTTCTTCTACTTCAGAATGATTCGCATCAGGTGCCGAGGAAAGCCCTTCACCATGTCCCAGTACCCACTCCATGCCGTGGGAATCTCAGATTCTTCAACGCGTTTTTGGGCAACTTACACCCTGTTGGGGTGCCGACATGGTACAGAAAGTATCAAACAGGTGGATATGAGTAAAGATACATTGTATATGTATTATATATAGATATATATGAAACTGTGTAAGTGATATATATATATATATATGTGCTGTATATGTATGTGTATACATATATATATATATGTAATTGTGTATGTATATATATATATACATAGATTAATTATATTCTTTGTAAGCTTCAGAGTCTGCGATTCTCTTATAAACTGGAGAGGTATGTCTTTGCTCCAATGGAAGCTGAATGGGGCTCTGACAACGGATCAATCACGTAGGTTGAAAACTATCTCTACGAATTCAGATGATCCCATAGCACAGGTAATCTGTGGTTTCCAGGGACACCAAACACTTTTTTGATCCATAGCCATGTCACGGTTCTCCTGAGCACATCGTCAGGGCCATGCTATTTTCGAACTCCTCCAAGTCCATCCGCAAGTGGGGCATAGGCGGATGGTAGATGGTGGAGCTTGTTGACGTGAGCTTTGTTTTAAGAGATCCTCAAGGGAAAGCACACGAAAGCCAAGATCTGCCATTGTTGGTGAGTTGTTCATTCAAGAATCAGGCTTGCTCCAACCCATCATCATCATGAATGATAGCCACTTTTGGGGGGTTAGGTCATGTTACCTCTTTATCCAGTCATTGGATTGAGGGAGAATCTGCAGGAAACCATGGTTTTTACCATTAAATATGGAGGTTTCCTGTAAATTTCCCCTTAAACCAATCCATTGACTTTATTGAGCAAATTTTCCCGGGAGCAGCCCTGAGAATATGGGCCATTTATTCCATGCGTCATGGCCGTCTGACGTTTTGGGTTTTCCCATGTTCAGACGAACAAAAATCTATTTCTTTAAGAAAGCTTGGTGGAAGGCAGAGATCTGCGTTGGGTTCATAAAATCCATATACCCTCTGGTAAACGTACAAAAAACTATGGAAAATCACCATTTTTATGGGAAAATCAACTATTTCTATGATCATTTTCAATAGCTATGTTAAATTACCAGGGGGTAGTTTGTTCCAAAAATTAGACATATTAGACAGTACAGCTGATTCATAATTTTTGAGGAACGGTCAGCAAGATCGACATCAAAAAAACCTGCAGTCTTCGACGCTGCAGTCTTCTGGCAGTGATCTGCATGAAAGCACATTTGGCAACTGGCAACTCGTGGACTTTGCCCTTTGGCCCTAGTGGATTGTGATATTCCCCAATATATAAGGTTAGTATAATCCACTGTAATATCATATAATAACATCACTGTAATATATTAATAAACATCAATATTCAGTTATATATATTTGTGATATTCCCACTGTAATATATAATCCATCAATATATTATATATATATATTATAACCATTAGTATATATTATAACCATTAATATATTATACTATCAATCAATACATAAGCTTATCCCCACTGTAATATATAATCCATTGTAATCATCAACCAAATGGGGTCTTGAACACTTGCCTGTACGGTGCCTGTACTCTTTGGTGACTTCAACAACTCTCACGGACAGCAGATTTGATGGTGGAGGTTCCCACTGAATCAAGTTGTATCTGTATCATATGCCCATTATATGCCCATTATATGCCCATTATATGCCCATTAAATTAGGGATATTGGAATTTTACAACTAAATACCAATATGTATATATATATATATAATATATATATAATACTGGTTGGTGGTTTGGAACATGAATTTAATGACTTTCCATTCAGTTGGGAATGTCATCATCCCAACTGACGAAGTCATATTTTTCAGAGGGTAGGTCAACCACCAACCAGGTACTATTTGGAGTCCCTTTCTTCATACCTTGCTGCAACAGTCTTCGAGCACACGAGAGTTTCCCATATTCCAAACATGAAACCCCAGCCCAGAACTATCTCAAGTAGGGGTAACCCCAAAATCAACCACAAATTGGGGATGGTGACCATTATAGTTATCCGGTCATTTCCCATATGTCCCATAAATACTCGATACTTACTGCATACTTATATATATATATAAATCTACTTATTACAGTATCCTTTCTAATTTCCCATAAATTGGAACGTTCTCATAGTTTCTCATGAATATTCCATACAACACCATATAAATAGCCCATGTTTTCATCCTCGGTTGTGGATCTCGCAGGCAGTTCACCACGCCGCTGTCCAAAACTGGGAACACCCACACGGCGTGCGCAGGTTTTGGTGGAACGGGTGGAACGGGGGGGTTGGGAAACATCACCCTCCCGGGGCAAAATCAAAGCAACAAGTTATGGAAAACGACTATGCTCTATAGCTGGGAAAATCCCATTTAGATTATGGAGATCCCTATTAATTCCGAGTGCCATAGAAGTGAAAAATGCATTCTATAGCTGGGAAAAATCATTTGTAAATGATTGTAAATGTATTGTTTTCAATTGCCATGTTTGATGACACCGGGGGGTTATACCTTTCTGTGGTGTGTCTGGTGTGATATGGATGGTGTGATATGGGCATGGGATATCTGACTTGTTTTTTAGGCATGATATGTGTCTGAAATCGGGGTACTCCGTTACTCCCCAATGGCAATTTGATCTGGGGAAACCTTGAATTCGGCATCCAAGATCAGCCTTGATTTGTGGTGTGACATGAGTTTGTCTCACTTCCGAAATGCCAATTTAACAGGAAGTACCACCTTTTCAGACAAGCCCATATGTAGTTTGGAGATCCCTACATTACTCTGGTGTATCATACGGTATAATTATCCCATATATATAAGTGTGTTATAGAGAGGTTTCATTCCTGGTTTGTATTTTCTTCATCAGAACGCGTATGCATTGCTTGGCGGGGCTAAGATTCACTGGGATGTTCCAGTTGAACACCTGTTGAATGATGAAAATCCTCCCAAAAAAACACAACGGAAAAACAAAAATGTCACTATGATCACAATCGCGTTTCTTCACTTCCGCCTTATCCTTTGAATTCGAAAGCAGAGCGTTCCTTGTTTTTTGTAGGTTGAAGGTGATTTCCTGCCTTCTCCGTTGGTGCCCCAGAGGATTCGGATGTTATGGTGTCCAAGTGGAGCCGAAATCGCTTCCAAAATCTGTGGTTTTTATTGGATGTTCACGGTGAGGTCGTGGGATTAGGGATTTCATGGGACTTTCATTGGATTTTATAGTGATTAAATGGATTTTCATGGGGATTTGATATGATTTGATATCATTTATCCTCTGGTTATTTAAGATAGCTATGGAAAACCTGCAGTTTTTTTTTGGGGTAAAATCATCGAACCCTTTCTGGGCTGTGGCTTCCATGTTGATGTGTGGGCACGCCACTGAAGATGACATGGTTGGAAGTCCCAATTTTGTTCACAGGAAAGATGGCACTCTGCGATGCTCTGCGGAAAAAATCTTGAGTCTGTAGATATGTCAATGCCTGGGGCCTTGTTCATGTCGGATATGAGTACTTATAATAGACATTCCAGAAAAACACTTGTGTGGAAATCCAGAATCCCAAGATGTTTTGCATCTCCGGCATGTCGTCACGGCCAGTCTATTGAATCAAAAAAGGCAAAGCTTGTTATCTTCTTGATTCTGCTTGTTTTCATCCTCCTTGTTTTCATGGCTTGTCGGCTCTTGCTTAGTCCTTGCTTGTTTGCTGGACTGCTTGGCATGGCTTGCCTTGTTTGGGCATGCCTTGCTGGCTGTCTTGTTAGTTCCAGGTTCCACGATCAACTATCCAGATTGTACATCCCTGATGCTTAAATTCGGACTTCTGACACTTCAATCATTTCATGATAGCTAAACAACCATTGTAAAACCTATATGTTTGTTTTCGTTGAATCCCTAGAGTTGAGGGTTTCTATCCCATCATATCGAATCATATCCCATTACATCATACTACATCCGTATATATCGAGAATCCTCTCGTATCCCATGACACAGCCAATCTCAGGTCCAGAGTGATCGTGGAGAGCTTGGAAGGGATCTTTCGTACAGTTGATCTCTGTAGCTGATAGATATCCATGGCTGACCATATGAATCTTATGATGATTCATGATGATATACTATGATGTTATGTGTTAAGTTGCTTATTTGTTAGGTTCGGGTACCCAAGAAGAGTTTTGAAGCAATAAGTTTGGGTCCAGTTTGCAACAAGGGTTTTGCACAAACACTCCAAAATGCAAAACTCTTCTTTCAAAAAAATGAAGCAGTCTCACACGCACTTTTTTAGACGCAACCCCAAGCGTCAAAGTTTTAAGTGTAAAGTGTCTAAAGAATCTGGAGTTTAAAGTTTAGAGCGTTTCATTTTTCACCAGGCTTATGAAATTATCAAGATGAAGGACCCCTTTGAAAGGAAATCTTGTTATTTCACAATGTTTTCACTTAGATTAGTTTATAGATTTTACCAGGCATTCACCAGTTAGAACTTTCACCGGTGAAAACTTGGTGAAAACTTGCTGTTTTTTTTAAATAAACTTGCTTACAATTAAAAACTTGGTGAGATTACGAAAGCCAGCCGGGAAGCTGGCTAGTTGCTATTTGCGAACGAAGTGAGAATAGGGGGCTGGGGGGGGGTAGTTGCCAAACCCGGCCGAAAATCGGGAAAATAGGTGGTAAAAATGGCCGGCCACTAGTATGGTTTTGCAGGGTAATGTACCAGGCGGCAAAACAGTGACGGTGGGTATCGATTCCCCCTAGGTCCGGTTTTCTGGGGGTTTCTGGGCTCAGTCAATGGACAGATAGATGGGCCAGCTAGTTAGACGAGATTGGAGAGAGAAGGACATTGGGTGAAAAGTATGTGCAAGAAGGGTTTCTGGGTGAAGAGTCTCTGGGTGAAAAGTATATGGGTGAAAAGTCTGCGCAAGAAGAGTTTCTGGGTGAAGAGTCTCTGGGTGAAAAGTCTGTGCAAGAAGAGTTTCTGGGTGAAGGGTATCTGGGTGAAAAGTATATGGGTGAAAAGTATGTGCAAGAAGAGTTTCTGGGTGAAGAGTCTCTGGGTGAAAAGTATATGAGTGAAAAGTATGTGCAAGAAGAGTTTCTGGGTGAAGAGTCTCAGAGTAAAAAGTATATGGGTGAAATGTCTGTGCAAGAAGAGTTCCTGGGTGAAGAGTCTCTGGGTGAAAAGTATATGGGTAAAAAGTATGTGCAAGAAGAGTTTCTGGGTGAAGAGTCTGCGGGTGAAAAGTTTATGGGTGAAAAGTATGTGCAAGAAGAGTTTCTGGGTGAAGAGTTTGGTGAGAAGTATGTGAAAGAAGAGTTTCTGGGTGAAGAGTATGTGCAAGAAGAGTTTCTGGGTGAAGAGTCTGGGTGAAAAGTATATGGGTGAACAGTATGTGCAAGAAGAGTTTCTGGGTGAAGAGTTTCTGGGTGAAAAGTATGTGCAAGAAAGTTTCTGGGTGAAGAGTCTCTGGGTGAAAAGTATATGAGTGAAAAGTATGTGCCAGAAGAGTTTCTGGGTGAAGAGTCTCTGGGTTAAAAGTATATGGGTAAAAAGTATGTGCAAGAAGAGTTTCTTGGTGAAGAGTCTCGGGGTGAAGAGTCTCTGGGTGAAAAGTATGTGCAAGAAGAGTTTCTGGGTGAAGAGTCTGTGCAAGAAGTGTTTCTGGGTGAAGAGTCTCTGGGTGAAAACTATGTACAAGAAGAGTTTCTGGATGAAGAGTCTCTGGATGAAAAGTATCGGGTGAAAAGTATATCGGTGAAAAGCATGTGCAAGAAGAGTTTCTGGGTGAAGAGTCTCTGGGTGAAAAGTATATGGATGAAACATACGTGCAAGAAGAGTTTCTGGGTGAAGAGACTCTGGGTGAAAAGTATATGGGTGAAAAGCATGTGCAAGAAGAGTTTCTGGGTGAAGAGTCTCTGGGTGAAAAGTATATTGGTGAAAAGTATGTGCAAGAAGAGTCTCTGGGTGAAAAGTATATTGGTGAAAAGTATATGGGTGAAAAGTATGTTCAAGAAGAGTCTCTGGTTGAAAAGTATATGGGTGAAAAGTATGTGCAAGAATGGTTTCTGGGTGAAGAGTCTCTGGGTGAAAAGTATATGGGTGAAATGTCTGTGCAAGAAGAGTTTCTGGGTGAAGAGTCTCTGGGTGAAAAGTATATGGGTGAAAAGTCTGTGCAAGAAGAGTTCCTGGGTGAAGAGTCTCTGGGTGAAAAGTATATGGGTGAAAAGTATGTGCAAGAAGAGTTTCTGGGTGAAGAGTCTGCGGGTGAAAAGTTTATGGGTGAAAAGTATGTGCAAGAAGAGTTTCTGGGTGAAGAGTCTCTGGGTGAAAAGTATATGGTTGAAAAGTCTGTGCAAGAAGAGTTTCTGGGTGAAAAGTCTCTGGGTGAAAAGTATCTGGTTGAAAAGTATGTGCAAGAAGAGTCTCTGGGTGAAAAGTATATGGGTGAAATGTCTGTGCAAGAAGAGTTTCTGGGGGAAGAGTCTCTGGGTGAAGAGTATATAGGATGAAATGTCTGTGCAAGAAGAGTTCCTGGGTGAAGAGTCTCTGGGTGAAAAGTCTCTGGGTGAAAAATATGTGCAAGAAGAGTTTCTGGGTGAAGAGTCTCTGGGTGAAAAGTATATGAGTGAAAAGTATGTGCAAAAAGAGTTTCTGGGTGAAAGGTCTATGGGTGAAAATATGTGGGTGAAAAGTATTTGTAAGAAGAGTTTCTGGGTGAAGAGTCTCTCCATGAAAAGTATATGGGTGAAAAGTATTTGCCAGAAGAGTTTCTGGGTGAAAAGTCTGTGCAATAAGAGTTTCTGGGTGAAGAGTCTCTGGGTGCAAAGTATATGGGTGAAAAGTATGTGCAAGAAGAGTTTCTGTGTGAAGAGTCCCTGGGTGAAACGTATATGGATGAAAAGTATGTGCAAGAAGAGTTTCTTGGTGAAGAGTCTATGGGTGAAAAGTATGTGGGTGAAGAGTATTTGCAAGAACAGTTTCTGGGTGAAGAGTCCGGGTGAAAAGTATATGGGTGAAAAATTAGTGCAAGAAGAGTTTCTGGGTGAAGAGTCTCTGGGTGAAAAGTATATTGGTGAAAAGTATGTGCAAGAAGAGTTTCTGGGTGAAGAGTCTCTGGGTGAAAAGTATGTGGTTGAAAAGTCTGTGCAAGAAGAGTTTCTGGGTGAAGAGTCTCTGGGTGAAAAGTATATGGGTGAAAAGAATGTGCAAGAAGAGTTTCTGGGTGAAGAGCCTATGGGTGAAAAGTATATTGGTGAAAAGTATGTGCAAGAAGAGTTTCTGGATGAAGAGTCTCTGGATGAAAAGTATCTGGGTGAAAAGTATATGGGTGAAAAGTATGTGCAAGAAGAGTTTCTGGGTGAAGAGTCTCTGGGTGAAAAGTATATGGTTGAAAAGTATGTGCAAGAAGAGTCTCTGGGTGAAAAGTATATGGGTGAAAAGTCTGTGCAAGAAGATTTTCTGGATGAAGAGTCTCTGGATGAAAAGTATCTGGGTGAAAAGTATATTGGTGAAAAGTATGTGAAAGACGAGTTTCTGGGTGAAAAGTATGTGCAAGAAGAGTTTCTGGGTGAAGAGTTTCTGGGTGAAAAGTCTGTCCACGAAGAGTTTCTGGGTGAAGAGTCTCTGGGTGAAACGTATACGGGTGAAAAGTACGTGCAAGAAAAGTTTCTGTGTGAAGAATCTCTGGGTGAAAAGTGTGTGGGTGAAAAGTATTTGCAAGAAGAGTTTCTGGGTGAAGAGTCTCTGGGTGAAAAGTATATGGGTGAAAAATTAGTGCAAGAAGGGTTTCTGGGTGAAGAGTCTCTGGGTGAAAAGTATATTGGTGAAAAGTATGTGCAAGAAGAGTTTCTGGGTGAAGAGTCTCTGAGTGAAAAGTATATGGTTCAAAAGTCTGTGCAAGAAGAGTTTCTGGGTGAAGAGTCTCTGGGTGAAAAGTATGTGCAAGAAGAGTTTCTGGGTGAAGAGTCTATGGGTGAAAAGTATATTGGTGAAAAGCATGTGCAAGAAGAGTTTCTGGGTGAAAAATATGTGCAAGAAGAGTTTCTGGGTGAAGAGTCTCTGGGTGAACAGTATGTGCAAGAAGAGTTTTTGGTTAAAGAGTCTCTAGACTCTAGATGAAAAGTATATGGGTGAAAAGCATGTGCAAGAAGAGTTTCTAGGTAAAGAGTCTCTGGGTGAAAGGGGTATTGGTGAAAAGTATGTGCAGGAAGAATTTCTGGGTGAAGAATCTCTGGGTGAAAAGTATATGGATGAAAAGTATGTGCAAGAAGAGTTTCTGGGTAAAGGGTCTCTGGGTGAAAAACATATGCAAGAAAAGTTTCTGGGTGAAGAGTCTCTGGGTGAAAAGTATGCGGGTGTGAAAAGTATGTGAAAGAAGAGTTTCTGGGTGAAAAGTATGTGCAAGAAGAGTTTCTGGGTGAAGAGTCTGGGTGAAAAGTATGTGCGTGAACAGTATGTGCAAGAAGAGTTTCTGGGTGAAGAGTTTCTGGGTGAAAAGTATGTGCAAGAAGGGTTTCTGGGTGAAGAGTCTCTGGGTGAAAAGTATGTGAGTGGAAAGTATGTGCAAGAAGAGTTTCTGGGTCAAGAGTCTATGGGTGAAAATTAGGGGTGAAAAGTATTTGTAAGAAGAGTTTCTGGGTGAAGAGTCTCTGGGTGAAAAGTATATTGGTGAAAAGTATGTGCAAGAAGAGTTTCTGGGTGAAAAGTATGTGCAAGAAGAGTTTCTGGGGGAAGAGTCTCTGGGTGAAGAGTATATAGGATGAAATGTCTGTGCAAGAAGAGTTCCTGGGTGAAGAGTCTCTGGGTGAAAAGTATGTGCAAGAAGGGTTTCTGGGTGAAGAGTCTCTGGGTGAAACGTATATGGGTGAAAAGTATGTGCAAGAAGAGTTTCTTGGTGAAGAGTCTATGGGTGAAAATATGTGGGTGCAAAGTATTTGTAAGGAGAGTATCTGGGCGAAGAGTCTCTGGGTGAAAAGTATATGGGTGAAAATATGTGCAAGAAGAGTTTCTGGGTGAAAAGTCTGT